CAGAAAACATTGTGAACATTATTTGCGCATTTATTAATCAACAAATACCACTGGACAAAAAAGTAGTATTAGTTGGGCATTCCATGGGTACTCATTTGTCGGTTAAGGTTGCCAAGAGGTTGCCAGCACATAAAGTTGAAGGGCTTATCTTGCTATCCCCTCCTGGTTTGATGGACGACGTTACAAAGACAGCGCCAGAACAACCTGCAAAGACAATATCTATGTTGAAGATATTCAACTATTTGCCTTGGTTTTTCAACTGCTTTCGTGTATGGGATAGACTTGAGGGTTTGAATAGCAAAAGTGTTTCCAGACAATTAGCAAAGCCAACTGATATACCTACTACGACATCTTGCAAGTTCAACCCTAATGCTAATATTTATAATAAACTTAGACAACTTAGATGGAATATGGATATAAACTCACACATAATCTTGAAATATGTACATGGATTTCAAAAAGCGAAGTATTCGGATTTGTTAGCAGCTATATCAAACTTCAACAATAACCCATCTGACAAAACTACTTATGAGAAAACTCTATTGATCGCTGGTAGTGGGGATCAAGTAACTCCATCGAGCGTAATATCAGTCATTGATAAATTTTTAGCTTCTACGTTTGATAGAAAAGTGTCATCTTCAATCGAAATTAATAATGCAGGGCATTCTTTACTTTTGTCGAAACCAGAATTTATTAGTGGAATGATTTTAAACCATGTTGAGCTGAAGTTTCCAGAGCGCTTGCATTTGGCACCTGCTTGGGTTTTGAGAGTTAAGGCAGATATTTCGGGTGACAAATGGGGGTTAAAAAATGAACTAAAATGGCTGAAGCTTAAACCACTTTCGAGCAATATTACTCGTAAAAATGGTAAGGATATTGCGCCTTTGTTAGGTATGAAGACACTCAGAGAAGATGATTCGAACCATTCGCCAGCACTTTTAGAGAAAAAGTTCTACGATCCTAATTCTGAATCTGTGGATGATATAGAAGGAAAATTGATCGGAATAGTGGATATTTCCGCAGACATACCACCATACAGCCCAAAATCGTTTAAGCATATTCAATACTACAAATGTGCAACCGTTTCCAAGGTAGTTCCCGACCAAGTGGCCATTAGAAGATTCATTCAATTAATTGATGACATTTTATCGTCTAATACTGAAAAAGCTCCACTAATCGCAATTCATTGTCATTATGGATTTAATAGAACTGGTTTCTTGATATGTTGTTATTTAGTTGAAAGATTAGGCTGGTCTGTGCAGGAAGCTGTTGAGGGATTTAAGGCAGCTAAACCTCCTGGAATAAAGCATCCGCATTTCATAGATGCTTTGTACGTGAGGTATGAGTCTAACTATTAGCCTGCTGACCGATGGTCAGTGTTATTTATCGAGCGTAATATGTGTATAATTAGAGTACTTAGGTATAAACAAATAATTTTTAGAAGTGCTTCTTATATTTGATCATTAATGACTTTTACTAGTTTTTAAAGCAATATATTCTGAATTTTTGAATTTTTCCCTAGAATAACAATTTTTAGCAAATTTCATACAAAAATGATTTAAAATTTTAAAATTAAATTAACTAATCAAAACTTAACTATACTATATTTTTATAAGGATTCTCTTTTATATAGATAACTGATTGTCCCGTATTTTGGTATTAGAATGTAGTATGTAGCTGCAAAAAAAAATTGTCTGATGATCCAAACACCGAGCTTCCAAATATCGAATATTTAGAGAAAAAAAATAGATTTAAATCCTGGGGAACTTTTTATTTATTGCATAACTAATATTTTCACCAGATACTTTATATATTATCATTAGCATCGGGAATTATGTATGCTTTGTCATAAATTCAAGAGGTATCTTTGAGTATGAGGTTTGGGGAGATATTAAACGAAGGATCAGTTCCGGAGTGGAAGTCCTTATATCTTGATTACAAGCATGGTAAGAAGTTAATAAAACGACTTGACGACATTAAGGAGGGTGTATGCGATTCATCAAACAGTATAGAGAATGATATGAATTCAGGGAAGAAAACCCCTAGAAATGCTAATGAAAGTACCCCATTGTTAATTCCTTCCAAAAGAGCAACAAAATATAATCAGGGCCGTACGGAGTCCGAATTGGACAGTTATTTTGAAGGTAGCCCAAATGTTGTGTACCATGAAGTAGATAGAGAGAGCTTTCAAAAAAATCCTAAACAGGATGACAATCTGAGTCCATTAGTTAACAGTTGCTCGCTGCGATCTAATAAAAATGATGATTTAGAAATAGAGAAGCGTAAATTCAAAGAATGGCTTGATTCTGAGTTGGATAAAGTCAACTCATTCTACAGAGAAAAAGAAGAAAGTAAGTTTGAGAAGTTTCTCTTATTGCAAGATCAGTTATACCAATTGCGAGAACATAAAGCCGTGGTATTGCGAGAAAGATTACAACACCAACATAAAAAACGTCATTCCATTGTGCATAGTTCTGCTAATACCTACAACAGCATACATGATGTAACATATTATATTAAAAGTGCATTATTTGCGTTAAGCAGATTTGATTTTCCGTCGCTTCCTTCAACTAAATTCTTGAGCAAATGGAAGAACGAGCAAGAAATAGATTCAAACCCGGCCAATGGAAATAATGTTGTGGATATTAATTATCACGAGAATAGAGTTAGGAATGGTATAGTCTCCCCACAAGACGATGAAGATATAGATTTTACTCCAGTCGACTCAGATTTTAATTCCGTCACCACGCCTCTTCTACAGGTAGATACCGTGAGGTATTCAACTCAAGAACCGCAGAGTTCAGCGATGAGAAGAACGGCAGGAAGAAGAGATTATAGCACTAAGAAAAATCAATTCAGGGTACCCTATGCGTATGCTCGAAAACAATTAGAGGATGCAATAATTGTGCATTATGGTGCATTATCATTATTAAAGTCATTTAGAGAGTTGAATAGAACTGCTTTTCGGAAACTTACAAAGAAGTTTGACCTAGCAATGCACACATCTATTTCAGCACCATATATGGAGAAGATTGATCATGAATCATATTTTCAAACAAGTGATACACTTGACAGGTTAATAGGTCAAGTCGAAGAATTATACGTAGTGTTTTTTGATAATGCAACTGGTAGAAGAGGTTCGCTAGAAAAATTAAAGAGTATTTCGTATGTGTTGAGTAGTAAAGTACAAAAGTCATTTTCAGCTCCTTTCTTTTCATCGGGAGTTTTCATTGGCTTCGGATTACCTATATTTGTTCTGGGACTATATTTTGCCTTACGAGAATCATTGAATGGTGATTTACCTGAAGGAAGGTTCTTATTACAAATATGGGGAGGATTCTTCTTGCTAATTCTAGCTTTTCTACTTTTTGGAATAAATATGTATGTTTTTGATTTATTCAAGATCAACTACAAATTTATTTTCGAATTCAAGTTAGTATCTGCATTGAATTACAAACAGTTTTTATTACTTCCATCGTTTGGGTTTGCATTTTTGTCTATAATAATCTGGTTCAGCCTGAATGACTTTTGGCCAGACAAGTTACCCGGTAGGGATTGGCCTTGGATATTTCTTGGAGTCATGATGGTAATCTTTATTTGGCCTGGTAATCAGTTTTATGCATCAAGTAGGAAATGGCTTCAAATAGCGCTTTGGAGATTACTACTATCTGGATTCTATCCTGTCGAATTTAGAGATTTCTTTTTAGGTGACATGTTTTGTTCGTTAGTTTACACCATGGGGAATATTCCATTCTTCTTCTGCCTATACGCCAATAAATGGAATGGATTATTAGATGACGGTAATACAGCTGAGCACAACGTTTGTGGATCATCAAGATCAAGATCAATGGGATTATTCAGCTCATTGCCAAGTATTTGGCGTTTTCTTCAATGCTTAAGACGTTACATGGATACTGGAGATTGGTTCCCCCATTTAGCAAACATGTTGAAATTTGCTGTCACAGCCATTTATTTCGGCCTATTAAGTGTTTATCGTATTGATAATAGTGAAAGAAATAGAGCTGCATTTATAATATTTGCTATTATTAATACGTTGTACACATCATCATGGGATATCATGATGGATTGGTCCTTATTACAGAGTGGATCCAAGCATAAGTTCTTAAGAGATAATTTATTTTTTAAGAGACCAATTTACTATTATTGTGCGATGGTGATTGATGTTACTTTAAGATTCCAGTGGATATTTTATGCGTTTTTCACTAGTCAAATACAGCAACTGGCGGTCACTAGTTTCTGTGTTGCATTAGCGGAACTTATAAGAAGATTTATTTGGATATTCTTCAGAGTGGAGAATGAGCATTGTACTAATGTTACCTTGTTTAGGGCCTCAAGAAATTCTCCATTACCATACTCAATTTCAAGCAAAGTAGAAAGATCGATTAGAAAGCTTGTTGAGTTGAAATATAACAACCTAGGTTCTACTGAGCGTCTTCAAAGCTCAAGTATAGAGAGAGCACATGAAGATGATGAAGACGTCGACATTGGTTTCCATCGTATACAAACTGCTATGTCGATATCTTCAACAAGAGAGCGTACTCGTCGTAAATCTATCATTGGATCGTTCTCGGAAGCTTTTAATACGGCACATATCAAGGATTTCCAAAGAAGGAAGACAGCTGTTGATGTCGAGGATGACGAAAGTGATGACGATGATGAAGAAGAAAGAGACGAAGAAGACACTATAGCATTGGAATCTGATGAATTGCTAAAGTGATACATATAGATACCCGTTTGAGTGATATTTTCATAGATTATATATACAATATATTATTGTCTAAGTAGTTTAATATTTAATTGCAAAAAATTGCTAGCCATTTAAGCGCACGGGGTTCCAAATACCAATAATAAAAAAAAATATTCCTTAACCGATCTGTTATTCGTTTTATTGTCAGATACTTTACATTAAGGTTATCATTATTATTGGAAGATCTGTATACTTTATGTATATCTAGAATTATAAGTGTTAATAATTTAATATGAAGTTTGGGGAATTATTAAATGAAGGGTTAGTTCCAGAGTGGAAGCCACTATATCTTGATTACAAGTATGGTAAGAAGTTAATAAAACGACTTGATGATATTAAGGAGGATGCAGATGAGTTATTAAACAGTATAAAGAATGATACAAATGCAGGGAAGAAAAGTCCTAGAAATGCCAATGACCGTACGCCATTGCTAGTTCCTTCCAAAGGACCAACGAAATATAACCAGGATCGTACAGAATTCCAATTGGATAGTTCTTCTGAAGACAGACCCAATAGTGTGGATAATGAGGTAGATGGGGAGAATGTTCAAAAGAATTCTAAACCAGATGATAATATGAGGTCGTCACTTTTCAATTACTCGTTGCGGTCTAACAAAAAGGACAATTTAGAATTAGAGAAGCGTAAATTCAAAGAATGGCTCGATTCTGAGTTAGATAAAGTCAACTCATTCTACAAAGAAAAAGAGGAATATAATTTTGAAAAGTTTCTCTTATTGCAAGATCAGTTATATCAATTGCGAGAACATAAAGCCATGGTATTACGAGAAAGATTACAGCATCAAAATAACAAACATAATCCTTCCGTCGATGATCCGGATAATATGTATAATAACATACATGATATAGCATACCATACTAAAAGTGCATTAACTGCGTTGGATAGATTTGAATTTCCATCTTTGCCATCAACCGCGTTCTTAGACAAATGGAAGAACAAGGAAGAAAAAGATATACATATGAATGGTGGACATGATTTTGACGATATTAATTACCATGAGAATAGGATTAGGAATGGTATGTCCTCTTCCAAGGACGACGAGGATACAGATCTAACTTCACTTGACTCAGATATTAATTCCGGCAACTCGCCTCAGGCAAATACCACAAGCTATTCAACTCAGGAGCCACAGACTTTAGCAATGAGGAGAACAGCTAAAAGAAGAGATTATAGCGTCAAAAAGGATCATTTCAGGGTGCCATACGTGTACGCTCGTAAACAATTAAAGGATGCAGTAATTGAGCATTATGGTACATTATCATTATTGAAGTCTTTCAGAGAGTTGAATAGAACTGCTTTTAGGAAAATTACGAAAAAATTTGACAAAACCATACATACATCTATTTCGGCGCCATATATGGAGAAAATCGATAACGAGTCGTATTTTCAAACGAGTGATACACTTGATCGGTTAATAGGTCAAGTAGAAGAATTATACATAATATTCTTCGATAGCGCCACAACTGATAGGAAGCGATCCCTAGAAAAGTTGAAGAGCATTTCGTATGTATTGAATAGTAAAGTACAGAGGTCATTTTATGCTCCATTCTTTTCATCGGGATTGTTCGTTGGCTTTGGTTTACCTTTATTTATTTTGGGACTATATGCTGGATTACGACAAACATTGAGTGGTGATTTACCTGAAGGAAGGTTCTTATTACAAATCTGGGGAGGATTCTTTTTGTTAATATTAGCGTTTCTACTTTTTGGACTAAATTTATATGTTTTTGACTTATTCAAGATTAACTATAAATTTATTTTCGAATTTAATTTGGTGTCCACATTGAATTACAAGCAATTTTTATTACTCCCATCGTTTGGATTTGCATTTTTTTCGATATTATTCTGGTTTAGTTTGAATGACTTCTGGCCAGACAAATTTCCCGGTAGGGATTGGCCGTGGATATTCTTTGGAGTCATGATAGTCTTATTTATTTGGCCTGGTAATCATTTCTATGCGTCAAGTAGGAAATGGCTTCAAGTTGCACTTTGGAGATTACTACTATCAGGCTTCTATCCTGTCGAATTTAGAGATTTCTTTTTAGGTGACATTTTGTGTTCATTAACTTATACTATGGGGAATATTTCATTCTTCTTCTGCTTGTATGCACATAAGTGGAATGGATTATTAACTGACGGTAGTACTAAAAAGCATAACGTTTGTGGCTCGTCGAGGTCAAGATCTATGGGGTTCTTCAGCTCATTACCAAGTATTTGGCGTTTTCTCCAGTGCTTAAGACGTTACATGGATACGGGAGATTGGTTTCCTCATTTGGCAAACATGTTGAAATATTCTTTTACAACCCTCTATTATTGTTTATTAAGTGTTTATCGTATTGATAATCGTGAAAGAAATAGGATTCCATTCATAATATTTGCTGTTATTAATACGTTGTATACATCATCATGGGATATTGTGATGGATTGGTCCTTATTACAGAGTGGATCCAAGAATAAGTTCTTAAGAGATAATTTATTTTTTAAGAGACCAATTTACTATTATTGTGCGATGGTGATTGATGTTATTTTAAGATTCCAGTGGATATTTTATGCGTTCTTTACTAGTCAAATACAGCAACTGGCGGTCACTAGTTTCTGTGTTGCATTGGCCGAAATTTTAAGAAGATTTATTTGGATATTTTTCAGAATGGAGAATGAACATTGTACTAATGTTACCTTATTTAGAGCCTCAAGAGACTCTCCGCTACCATATGCAATTTCAAGCAGAGTAGAAAGATCGATTAGAAAACTTGTTGAGTTGAAATATAATAACCTAGATTCTGCTGAACCTATGCAAGAGAACATAAATATAGAGAGAGCACATCAAGATGAGGATGAAGCTGATATTGGCCTCAGTCGTATGCCAACAGCTAAGTCGAAGGTTTCACCACCAGGAGAACTTCACCGTAGATCCACAGTGAAGTCTACTATGGGTACGTTCACTGATGCTTTAAATAAGGCACATATCAAGGATTTTCAAAGAAGAAAGACAGTTGTTGATGTCGACGACGAAGAAAGTGATGATGATGAAGAAGAAGAAGAAAGAGACGAAGAAGACAATATAACATTTAAATCTGATGAATTGCAAAAGTGAAACAGATAGATTCTCATTTGAGTGAATACTTTTATGACTTCATAGGATTTATATATTTAATATATTAATTATCAATTCAAGCTGCTAGAGGCATTTTTGCAACATATGGCTCTTCTAAATAATTAATCTCTTGTTCAGTAAGTTTCAAGTTAACTGCTTCAATAGTGTCATCAATTCTTTCTTCCGAATTAATACCAACAATTGGAGCACAACCTTTGCTTAATACCCAGGCTGAAGAAACCACTGGCATGCTAACACCATGCTCTTTTGCTATTTTTTCAACCCTGGTCACAATTTCCTTATCACTGTCAGACAAGACATCCAATCCTAAGGCCTTAAATGTTTTGTCAGACGTTGAATTTCTATTAAATTGAGATTGGGTATTTATTGGTCTCGCTAAGAGGCCTCTTGCATTAGGCGACCATGGAATTAAACCAACCTTTCCAAATTCAGATTCATTACAGAAAGGGATCATCTCTCTTTCTTCCTCACGATAAAGCAAATTATAATAATTTTGCATACTGATGAACTTGAACCATCCATTTTTTTCAGCAATGAATTGCAATTGAGCGAATTCTGTGGCCTTCATGCTTGAGGCACCAATATACCTCGTAAGTCCTTGTAAAACCACATCGTTTAATGATTTCATAATTTCAGCTTTTGGTGTTTGCTTGTCCAGTCTATGAATCTGCAACACATCGATATATGTACCTAATCTTTTTACGGAAGCATTGGCTGCATCGAATATGTGCTTTCTAGATAACCCTTGCAGATTAATATAGTCACTTTCTGGAAATGACTTATAATTTGACAATTTGAAACCAGGGGTCTTTTCATCCACTGGGAAATACAATTTGGTTAAGATCACGATCCGTTCTCTTGGAATATTATACTTCTTGATAAACTTGCCAAGAAGTTCTTCTGATTTACCGTTGGAATAAACATCAGCAGTGTCAAATGTTCTTAAGCCATTATCATAACATTTTTTTAAGATCCCAAATACCTTTTCTTCGTCTTCAAGGACCCAGTCAGCCCACTTTTTATCACCGTAGGACATACATCCAACAATCACTTTAGAAATCTTGAGTCCTGATTCACCTAAATTTATAAATTCCATTTTAATTTCACTTTGCCGATAATACTTGGCCTGCTAGTATGAATTGTCAACTAGTGGTGTTCCAGATCATGTATTATGACTACCAATAGTGTAGTTACGATTATTTGATAATTAGTCATCGTATATGCGCACGTTCGTGACAGATTTCGTATTCTGCTGTAGTCTTTTTATTCAAGAGGTATTAAAGATATGGTATACAATACAATTGAAAGTAGAAAAAGTGCTAAGGAGATAATCAAGTACTAGGAATCAGTTATTTCTTTGGGAAAAATAGAACAGCAAAGTTCAGAAGCCTATAGAATTGATTGCAAAATCGCATATCTATGGCTATTACAGAGGCATTATGGCCATTACGACTGTTAGCCTCAAAGGTCCCTGTAAAGGCTTCGATCATCCACGAAAATAGTTTATCTGATCATTGTAAATGATTACGTCGTACATAAAATATAAAACACGAAAAAATAATCCATCGGAAACTAATACTAAATTTACTTACACGTAAACTCTAATATTTAATTTTTAGATCTCTTAACATCCGATTCTTCCAAACCTTCAATAACATGGGGAACGGGCTCCGTTGGTCTCACATGAGGAGTAGCAATATCAGCATGGAAATCTTTGATAATCGAATCGACGTCATCAATGGTTAACTGTCTAACATCACCCAATTTCTTAATCTTGTTGGTTACTTCCTTACATTGCTCATCAGATAAGTGCAAGTTTAATTGATCAACTCTTGACTTGATAGCATTCCAACCAGTTAATCTATTAGCGAAATGAATGTACCTGGTCAACCCAAAATCTGCAGGACTTAAAATTTCGTATGTGGAAGGATTAGCCAAAATAGCTTTAGCATGAATACCAGCTTTATGGGTGAATGCACAGAATCCAGTGATAGGATTGTTGAATGGAATATTAACCTGTACTGCTTCTGCAACCAAGTTTTCCAAGTCTCTTAATTTATGCAATTTATATTTGGATAAAACATAATCTCTGTCAGCAGCAACCATTCTGGCCATCAAACCACCCAAAGGAGTAATACCGTTTCTTTCACCAATACCAAGAACTGATACATCTATGAGTCTAGCACCACCTTCCAAAGCAGTGTAGGCATTCGCAATGGCACAACCAGTATCGTTATGGAAATGACATTCAATATCACAATGAACAACAGATCTTAAAGTTCTAACTAATTCGTAGACTTGTCTTGGGTTAGCACAGCCCACAGTGTCGGCAATACCGACTCTATTGACACCAATCTTATCAACTGTCTTGTAGATGTTCAATAAATCAACCAAGTCAGATCTAAAGGAATCTTCAGACGAGAATCTGATTTCTATACCCTTGGATTTAACGAATTCAATAACTTCAACTGCTGATTCAGCAATGTAGTTCATATCCTTACCGTGAGAAAATTGCCTTAAGAATTGGGATGTACCGATGACAACATCGACCCCGTCAACACCAGTCTCGACTGCAACTCTTGCATCATCCATATGACATCTAATGTGTGTTAAGATCTTGGACTTTAAACCTAATTTACAAATGGCTTCACAGTCTTTTCTACTTTGTTCAGAAGCAACTGGTGATGTCAATTCAATATAATCCACACCAAATTCATCTAAAGCCTTAGCGATCTCAATCTTTTTCTCAGTTGAAAAGAACGCATTTGCGAACTGTTCGCCCTCTCTCAACGTAGATTCGATTAATTGAAAGTTTGAAACATTTGATAAGAAGTCTGCTGGGTTTGGTCCGTATGGATTGGAATTGACTTCTTGATTTGATTTATGTGCGTCTTCACTGACCTTTTTAAAACCTTCAGGAGCTGACATTGTCTTTGTTTAATGTTCTGATCTAATTTATATTCTACCTAACAATTAAATGGAGGAGATAATGAAAAAAAAGCAGTATAGGATGAGTTGAAAATAAGCTGAAATTAAGAATCTCTGAGAGGCTCGCTGAAAAATTGATAAGATGAGACATATTATATAAGCAATTCTAAATTATATACCCTTTTGCTATCTAACTATTTAACAAGAACACTAGCTCGAAATAGAAAATTAACCTCTAACGGTGGAACCTATACCCGTGGCGTAATTATGTACATTATTTTCAAGCGTTGATAAATATAGCGCATATTCGTAGTCATCATCGCTAGTTATTTGCGGCACCATATTATTATCATGCCTGTAATGAGATTCGTAAGGTATATTTGGCAGAACATCGCTGCTGTCAGTTTCCACCGGAATTAAATCAGGAATAAGATCATCATAATGTTGATCATCAATATGGGATATTTCCCAAGGATCAATCGATTCTGGAAATAAATTGAACTTCAGAAATTGGAAGATAGACTCTGATAGTTTGTCGTTACTTTTGATTAGCGATCTGTTAACTCTTAAACATGGTACCACTCGAGGATCGTAGGATATCAAATCTAAATATTTGTGGAGTGTAGCATGGTAAGGGGGTATTTCAGCTTCGTTACCGGCGTAGTATTCGTCTGATGGAGGGCGATCTTCCTGGCTTGGGGTGTTTTGGGGAGTATTTTCCTCGCTGGAAGAAACCCTATCGCACGGATGTAATATTCTAGGTGAATTGTGAACTCGGGGTCTTCGTTGACTGGCTCGCAGCTCTTCGTTTACGAGATCATTTAATATAGGATTTCCTAGATGTGTTTGTATTATCCCTAAGTTTGTTCCTTGATGCAACGCAAAGTGTCCTTCATCTGGCACTTGCATACTCTGTTGTTGTACAATGTGCCTCAAACGGGATTCTGAATCTGTTGCATGTGATCGGGTTGGACTCTCTGGTGGACCATGTTGCTGTGCAAGATGACGCTGACGTCTTTGTCTTGAAGGTGTATCTGAACCTTGTTCCCAAATTTGTGCTTGACCTGCCTGTGGGCGCCTTTGTCGATTATGCCTCGTACATGGTACTGAAACTGTTTCTGATGACTGCGGTGGGTCTCCCCGTGGACCCTGAACCTGCCTATGGTTGCGTTGATGCCTCTGTCTTGAACTTGTATCTTGAGTAGATTCGGGGCTTTGTTGGTGTTGTCTTGTGTTTTTATGACATCTTTGTCTTGAATCGCTTTCTTCAGACTCCAACGATAGTTCTGGGTTCTCGAGCGAGGTATGCTGTCTTATAGCATGTTTTTGACGTCTTCGAGCTTTGTGAGATAATTCATCATTTGCAATTTGAGCTTGCTCAGCTTGCAACCTCAGTTGCATCGGATTTCCGAGCCGTATATGGGCTGCTTCTTGTAACAGCTCTTCCTGAGTACGAAATGGCTGGTGACTCAGCGTCTCATAGTCCTCCACGTGCCTCACGAACCTTTCTGGACATTGTTTCAGATGTTTCAGGCGCCTCGAAGAAGGCTCTTGTTCAGCCTGGTTCGCTCTCTCTCGGGGCCTCTCTCTACGTTGGCCATGCTCATGATTGGCCATTTGAGGCCGCCTATGCTTCGGATGTTTCAGGTGAGATCGCAGACGAGATCTAGGACGCATTTCTGCCTGTGCTTCTTGCTGTACTTCTTGATGCTGTTCCTGAATCTCATTGAAAAGAACCTGCGTCAAGGCAGGCAGAAACCCAGGTTGTAGCTGTGCAGCTTCATTTCCCCCATTTTGCTGTCTCCGACGATTCCTCATCTCTTTGTGATATTTCTTTGCCGCCTTATCAATATCCCTTTGGCTTATTTCGATATTCAAATCATTACCTTGTACATTTTCGATGCGAGATCTACTCTTGGGCATTGCCGCTCGTTCGGGTTTTCTAGCAACATCCTCTGAAATTAACAGTCCCGTCTTGTCGCCTTCGTCATATGCCTTAGGCTTCACCACACCATTTATTGTATCTTTAAGCGTCATGATACTAGCTATTTTGGTATAATAATCGTCTGAAAAGTAGAAATTCCTAAAATAGAAAACAAATTAGACTTGCAAGCCATACTGCATATGACGATTCCAGCAATATACTGTTGATAGCAGAACAATCTTCATGAAGAGACCAGAAAACTAACTAGCGTAGCAGTAATTGTGTAGATATTCGATTTTCGTAAAGAGTAATTATATCACGTCATTCCCAAGCGTAGTATAATTGAGTTTTTTTATGTCTACAGGTTCTATAGCAACAATATTTATTGAAACCAATACAACACTAGCTAAACCAATTCATTTCATTTGCAATTGGCAATAGAATCAAATCAATTGGCCATGTCCATAATTATTATAAAAGAATCAACTGGGATAATTCATAATCGGTATAAATAAAAATTAAAGTGAAAAATTTCGAAATTTAGTACCAATGGCAAATCATGCTTATTTCTTGATGTTGTTGATTTCGTCTTCTAACTTGTTAATACTTTCCTTTTGTTGTTGTAACTTTTCTCTTAAGGCCTTTAATTGTTCGGCTTCATGCTTCTTGACGTAGACGTTTTCTTGAGCCTTTTCCCTTTCGGAGAATGCGTCGTTGTTGGCATTTGGAGAATCATTACCTAATGCAACTCTGGCGGTGGAGAATTGTCTGATGGACGATTGTAAGGTACGCTTAGCAACTAATTGAGATAACATTGTTAGTTTAATTGATATGATAGTGGTGAAATTGTAGGAAAAAGAACAGGAGTCTACTTGGCCATTAATCAGTCCTGGGAGCTCGGGTCATGTTATTGGCCGTATTATATACAGGAACAACGGTCCAAGCTACCATAATGGAATGATCAATGGTCCGATTTGACGGTTTAGAAGTGGGATATAGACATGGGTGGGGATGTTACTCTATGTAATGGTCACCGAAAATTAGGCATAGAAAAAACAACCTAAACGTTTACTAGCAAAATTGCAAAAAAAAAAAGACTGAAAAAAATTTGTGGATGAACGTAAATTTATTGACTATATACAATTACATGTTTCTGGTAGGAAGATATCTGGAGTGCTTGTGGACCGTAGACAATAATCCACAGGTTCTTGCTCTTTTAATGGCGTTTGACAATTTCTTTTGGTTTTTGGCATTACACCCGGTTATTTCTCTTGGTAAAATCTGGCCCGTCGAGCTCAAGAACCTCGATAAAATCTCTGGCATGGTATATATGTCTAACGGATCGACGCCTGCCTTTTGGAACGGATCCACCATCTTCTCGTATGGCACTGTTTGTCTTCTTTCTCTCTTTTCGATGTCCATTTTATCGTTTGAGAAATCAAATGGATCGTATGTTTCACTCAGATTGAACTTCTTGGTGAATGGCTTTGCAATGTTAATTGGAGGCTGCGTGTTCTCCTGTAATGATCTAGCCATCCCAACGACTCTACTGATAACTGAGCTATTATTATTGGACGATTCGTTTCCTGCCCATGATTCACTGCTCTTCATCTCTGGTGTCGATGGGAGCGACTTATTATAAATTCTGCTTCTTGTACCAATACAACGCACTGGGGTAATCCGAGCCCCTCCAGCAGCTTTCATCACCCTATTAACCAACATCCTTGTCGTTAATGTGTTTTGATATGGACAGTAGAGTTGAATGAAAAAAAAATTACCATTCTTTAGAAACGATTTTTTGTGTAAGTTTTAAAGCGTCCAACGAAAAAATGAAAAAGTTCGCTGAACAGGAACTTAGACATAGTATAATACTAACAGATAATACGATTTAAGAGTACTTAAGCTTTTAAATAAGTCTATATAATTTGCTGAAACGACTCTACTTCAGGAGATAGTCTTATTTGACAATTTAATTATCCATATTGGGATATTTTATCTAACAGAGCGTGATCTAAAGTTTAGATATTAGTAAGGAAATAGCGTTTCGTTGGCGAGTATTTATTACAAGACTATCGAAGACGAAAGCATAATACCGTTGGTTTTTTTTGGCTATAATTAAGTGGATTTCAATAGAAGAATAGACCATTTTCCTATATCTTAAAGTTAAGAAGGGTCTATATCAAATAGCAATCATCATTCATATTTGAATACATACATAAAACAAAATGAGTGAAAGAGGACCAGATCAATGGTTGGAGCAGATCAAGAAATGTATTGCATTATCTGAGTCAGATATGAAACAATTATGCGAATTGGTGAAGGAATTGCTCATGGAAGAGTCCAATATTCAACCAGTCCAAAGTCCTGTGACAGTCTGTGGGGACATTCATGGACAGTTTCACGATTTGCTAGAGTTATTTCGTATATCAGGAGGATTACCTAGGGATGACAACAATGTCAGCTATATATTTTTAGGTGATTACGTCGATAGAGGATATTTTTCCTTGGAAACATTCACATTATTAATGGTTTTAAAAGTGAAGTATCCACACAGAATAACTTTAGTTCGTGGTAACCACGAGTCAAGACAAATCACACAGGTTTACGGTTTCTACGAAGAATGTTTAACTAAGTATGGCTCTACGACAGTCTGGAAGTACTGCTGCCAAGTATTCGACTTTTTAACATTGGCTGCAATTGTGGACGGTAAAATATTGTGTGTCCACGGCGGTTTATCTCCCGAGATCAGAATGCTTGATCAGATCAGAGTTTTAAGTAGGGCACAAGAGGTTCCTCACGAAGGGGGCTTCTGTGACTTAGTCTGGTCCGACCCTGATAATGTGGACACATGGGCTGTGTCACCGAGAGGTGCTGGATGGTTGTTCGGTTCTAAAGTCAGTCGTGAATTTAATCATATAAACAATTTAGGCTTGATTGCTAGGGCGCATCAATTAGTAATGGAAGGATTTCGATATCATTTCAAAGATAAAGACGTGGTTACAGTTTGGTCGGCGCCAAATTATTGTTATAGATGTGGTAACGTAGCTAGTGTGATGCAAGTTGATGAAGATTTGGAACCAAACTTTAAAATCTTCAGCGCCGTTCAAGATGGCGATTTAACAGCAAAGAATAATCCTAATAAACAACAAAGAAGTGATTATTTCTTATGATAGGTTCAATGAATATTCAATTGCCTAAGTCTACTCGAAAATTCAATACAAAGCTCTGTGTGTTACCTGATAGTGCATTTTGATATCATGATATCAAATTATGAGATAATACGTTGCATTACAGATGTGTTTATATTTTCATATCTTACGACATGATCAATTCAATTTTTAATTTGCTTATCCTTCCCAAGTGTTTGTCTGCTTTACAAATGCTTTCTAATTGACTCTAATGATTATGATGAATGTTAACCGTTCTTTTACCTAGATATTTTTCTTTACATATTCAATTACTGTATAGTATCATTACTTTTATTACATAGTATAAAAATAAAACCTTTAACTGAAATTATCGAGGATGCAATCGAAGTCTTGATAATTAAATGAAAGGATTGAAGTGATCTCAGAAAATGAACTTTGTTTTGCTTTCTACATGTGATCTAAATTTTACGTTTATTATAATCATACGTATGGTACATGCAGCTATATGGATTAACGGATTTTACAGTTGACTAGTTTTTGCCCTTTCTTCTCTTACGTTTGATACCAATGATATTCTTAACGTTATCAGATAAACCGGATTTATTCTGTGGTCCCTTAGATTCGGCTTGATTTCCATTAGGTGTAGGCTTTGCGCCTTTATTCATATTACCTTTTTTATTAGAACCCTTTCTTGCTCTCTTATCATTCTTTCTCGAGTCACCCTTATTATCTTTACCATCATCCCTGTCATCTCTTTTTCTCTTCCTATCAAAGCTCTTCTTCTCTGTATTATTTTCACCTTCTTTGTTATTACGAGCTTGGTATGTTTTTTCCCTTCTTCTTTTGACAACTTCAGCGTTTTCAACAGCAAATTCAGCAATTAATTTTCTTTTTGCAAGACCTTCTAACTCGGCTAATTTTTTCTCTTCGTCGGTCATACCCTCTAAAACTTCAGGAATGGTAACTTCATGAGCATTTAACCATCTTAAACCCATCAATGCAGTTTTATGATCTCTGAACTCAATAAAACCATAACCTCTACTACGTCCAATTTCACCACTTCCTTTAACTTCATTGATAACTTTAGCTTGTTTGACAACACCCAATTTTTTTGTCTTTTTCTTATCTGTTTCGAATTCTCCAATATCATGCTTATGTTTAACAGAACGGTTAAGTTCTTCTTTTGATAATGGTTGTCTTTTTTCTTCCTTCACTTCAGTTGCAAATTGAACAACAGCCTTACGACCCAATGCTTTCAAAGCTTTTGAATTCATAGCTCTTGGAACATTTCTAATAGCTAATCTTGTCAAAGATAAATGCAATGATGGAGTTTTGTTTAATTGTTGAACTCTTAACTTGTAAGATTTTTCTCTCATTTCGAGATCAGTTTTTGATATGAATTGAGCTAATTTAGAATTTTCAGTAATACGACCTTCATTCAACAAGTATAAATTACGTTTGTCTTTTTCTGATGGCGCCTTACCTAATACCTCTTTTCTCTTTTCAACATTTCTTTCAGCCAATTTATGAGCAGATTCTCTATCAACAGCAGATGCAATGGACAAGATACGTCCTTGATAGACATAAGCTGGCGAAACATCATCTGCAATTAACAATGACGTGGAAGCAACAGATGGTGCATTATCCAAACAATCAAGGTAAGCATCTTCATTTTTGAACGCAACAAAAGCAGAACCTTTGGCTAATCCGCTTTCCCTATCAATAACAGGCAATGCATACTTAACTGGTCCAAATTGCGAAAAATGTTCTTCCAAGGACTCAGATGTAGCATCATAAGGTATATTACGAACAAAAAGGGAAAATGCTTCTTGCTTATTATTCTTTTTCCTTGGTATTTCCTCTTCTTCCTCTTCTTCCTCATCTTCTTCGGCAACCTTAGAATCAGGATTATTTAATTCGTCAAAATCTTCCGCAACATCAGATTCTTCATCATCATTTTCTTCAACTTCATCTTCTTGACTTGGGTCTATCCCTTCTTCTTCGTCTTCTTCGTCTTCTTCTTCTTCTTCTTCCTCATCTTCATCTTCTTTGATTTCTTCCCATTTAGATTTTTCAATGGCCAAATCAACAGCGACTTCTCTGTCATCGATCTTCAATCCTACAGAATCCTTTACAGCCTTTTCGGCCGCAGAATCCTTTTTCATTGTTACAAATGCAAATCCACACATCTGCCCACCTTTCTTCTTTGGGATGTACGCATCGTACACTGCACCATACTTAGAAAAAATCTTCTTTAATTGATCTGGTTTCTTACAAGACCAAGGCAAGTTACGAATAATTAATCTAGCTCTTCTTTTTTCGACCGGTGCTGCCACGGTTCTTTCTTTACTAGCTGTGACACTGCTGCTTGTCCTATCTTTACGCTCTCTTCTTTTTGCAATATCAACTCTCAATAAACGACCCTTGAATTTAGCCTTTCTAGATTCTACTAATGCCGTCAAAGTATCCTCATCTAACGTGAAAGAAACAAATCCAAATCCTCTTGATTTTTGGTTCTCGTCATTAACAATTACTGCATGCTTCACTGGGACGAATTGTGAAAAAAATTCCTCTAATTCTGTAGATGTGGCTTCAAACGGGACAGAACGCACGAACAACGTTCTTCTGTCTAAACTTTCATCTAAAACTTGATCCTCTTGTTTCTGAGGGGCTATTACTTCTTCTTCAGACATTATACGATCTTTAAGCTTCCCTTCAATGAATATATCTTCTATAGTAGCAGCCTTTAATCTGAAAAACTAAAAAAAAATTTAGTGTATGCAGATCGCTCTTCTCGAGAGTTACCCGCATAAATTGACATATAGAAGAGTAAACATAAGATCATATAGGATAATGCATAGACAGTGAATTGCAATAGATAATTCAGGAATGGCTAAGAATGGAAAAGAACGGCAAAATGTGTTACCAAATACTTATATACCAGTATTGTCCAAGAAAGTATTGAATAATATACTCTCCCGGCTCACTAGATCATCGCTTTTGGAACTAATGTATATATGGCCGAAGCTATTGAACACACAACCTCATATTGATAAGGGTCAAAACAAGTATAAACAAAAGGAGTTAAACAAAAAAGTATTACGAGAAATGAATGAAATCAAACACGCTACTTCGAAATTCCCCAAACGAAAGATTATTGATAAATTACTATTTGAATATTGGTCGAATGGGTTGAACCTACTCCAGTTATCACAAGTTGATTGCCAATTGCTTGTGGATAGACCAAATGCATATTATTGGATTCTGTCTACGGTAAAAGATATGGATAATAAAGAAGTATCGGTACTGCTAAATCCCAAGACTTTTCTCGATCAGTTGGCGCAGGAGTTGAATTTATTATACATGACGTACATCTATGTGTGCCGTCATCCAGTATTTCCGTTAATAATAATCAGGATTCAAGTATTTGACTTGCAGCCCATCAATGCCTCCAATAATGCCAACAGACCTCATATTTCTTCTCATCGGCCTTATTTTCTAGCAGTCCCGATGAATTCTCCACATATTATACATTCGACTGGAACTGATATAGTAGCTAAAATTGTACTTCAGGCTGTCGAAAGAAACATTCCTCAAAATCCTAGGAACTTACTCAGGCTCGAAACGACGTCAAACCAAAAGCCCATAAGATCATTAGAATCAATGCATATATTACACGGAAATTCAAGATTTGGTAATAGTTTAGGTATTTGGACACCTTACGCTGATGCCACAGTAGATATGCTACCATTAGGACCACCAGAGAAGCACAATATTTTACGAGAGAAAAATGACACGGAGAACGAAGATGACGATAATAATGATGCAGACTTGAAAAAATTGAAACAAATTGCTAACTTACGATTCAAGGGATCTATAAATGGGAAACTCAAGTCAGAGAAGTTATTTGATGATAACGTACGACCCGGAACTCTGAGAAAAAGGAGGAATCGCATGTACGTCAGTAATCTCGATAGCAGCGATGACGATGAAGGTACTGAAGGTTTCAAAAGTGGTAGGAATGAATTTACCTCTGTTGCTCCAATTCAGTACTCTGAATTTTTAATTAAAGACGAAATTAAGACCAACGACAAAGTAGAAAATGTGAATCCCCTGGATCAAAATGAGATAGAGGATGATAAGTTCAGTCTGATAACCATGAAGTTGACCGGATTAGACGTGTTTGCGGGCCTACACGAAATCTCTACTAAAACTACCAACAAAACTGATATGATTATAGATCCTGCTACAATCCCTTGTTGGCTTACAGGCGAAGAAGGAACGAGCTGCGGTGTTATTAAAGAAGGTAAATTTTCTAAAACTTTATAATTTATTTAATAGCCTAATCTTGTAATATAGCTTTTGACTACGTTCAACATATTTTCATGCCCATTACCAAGGTTCATAGCTTTCTCTTTAACTTCCTTTAAAATGTTAATGTCCTTATATTTAAAAGCCTCATTGGCAGCCAGAATTAGATCCTCATTTTGCATATACATTTCAATTTTTTCAGAGTAGTGACTATCAGAGCAATTGTTGATGTAAATTGAAATTTGATCCTTAGGCCCATTATATGCCATACAGGTCTCCACAAACGGCTTAAACCCTATTGGAGACTTGAAAATAGGTTTGTCACTTTTTGAATCACTTCTATGCGATACAAACTGATATAGTTTATCAAATTCATTGTTTTTGGCATATACATCAAGCACTAGATACCAAAATTTCTCTTGACGTATTTTTAACTCTTTTACAATTTTTAAAGCAGGCTTTAATTGGTGCATTTGTATTAATTTTATGAGAATTGAATTGACTGATTCCTCTTTAAAAAAATTGGCCTGATATGTTTCCGAAAGTCGTTTCTTTAACTCCAAAATCTCGATTTCACGTTGATATATTCTTGCGCTTTTCTTATTAGTGGTACGACCCGTTAACTTCGATAGTTGTAACTTATAAGTATCGTAGTAGCTTTCGTTTTCTGTTTCATCAGTGTCTGACTTTGATATGAATGATTTTAGTTCTAGAAGTTTAAGGTCTGAGGTTTTGTCTTCCTGTTTATAAAACTTTTTTAATGATGATTTGTCAACTTTGCCGATACTTTCCACCCAAAAGTTTCCTATTAAGTCACCGCTTATAAACAAAAATTCGTTTGATGAGCTTTTATCTTTGAATTCCTTATTAGACGTATCAGTAATTAAACCTTTTTGTTCGTTTTGGTTTAGAATTTTAAAAAACTGCGATACCGATAATATATCATGTAGATGGAGTAAAAGTAAACGACATAAATCATAATCTCCACTCTGAAATGACTTTATCAAGGCCAACTCAAATTCTCCAAATTTCAAAAACTGATTTATCTTTTTTACTACAGAAGGTGAAAAATTGATCAATAATTTGCACAAATTGATACGACCTTCCTCATAAGCAACATTCGATATCTTGTCAACAGATATATAATTTCTCGAATTTTTAATATTAGGACCAATAGCTGATGTTAGCTTCTTAGAAATTATTTCAAAAAGCTCCATATCGGACATATTCATTTCTTTTCTTATCTTGTAACAGCACCAATGGATATATACGAGTTCTTTTAAGTTCTGTAAATCAAGTAAATCGATCACTTTTAATGCAAGAAAATGTAAGTCTCTTCTTAGTAACATTTGGATCAATTCCTCCCAACTAATGTTTAGAAGCTCGTTGTAGGTTAGAAATATCCCAAGTTCCGGTGATCCTAACTGATTCAACACCTTGAGATAGTTCAAAGTTTTTAGATATTCATCTGCATTATAATAATCATCGTAATAAGCCTTTCCGAAGGATACCGCCTTTAACATTTTTTTTTGCCATGATTGATTGAATTCATTAAGAGATGCCTTTAAGCAATCATTAATTGCAAGGAGAAGGGAATCATCTGATTTTAAAAGAGAAATATTAGTATCTGACTTAGATGAATGTTGCGATAATTTATCGATACAATCAAGTAATATGCTGCTTGGATGGGAGGATCCAATTTGATGTAGGTTTATACTAACATCAGGGACTCGACTTAAAAACTCAACTTTCTTTTTAGTAATAATTTTCAAGCCATCTGGCTCAGTTTTAAATATTGGGATGGTAAAAGAAAATTCTTCATTCTCATTGCTTCTTGAAAGAGAGTCTAAATCAAAGTCTTCCTCATCAATAATATCATAAAAAAAGGAAATTGAATTTTGTCCTGGTCCGATTAACTTCAACTCGTCTTTTAGAGAGAGTACAATAGCATCATTTCCACACCATTCTACTTGATAAGGCGAAGATGAGTCATTAGAAGTGTCATATTCGAGTAAGACTTGGTCAAATTTATTACTTATGACAAATATCCTTTCGACTTGAGAATTAAACAATGCAATCAACTGACCATTGGGTGATGCTGTCAATTGTGTAAAAGGTCCTTCAGTTAACCCGTGATCTATAATTTCGTAGTTACTCAACCTCAAGTCTATCTTTATCAGAATTATTGTCTTATCAAAACTGACAAGTATATTTAAAGACTCATCGTCGGAATGCAACGGATTGATACAATGCATCTTAGAAGCCAACGAGCTTTCGAACGGTATTTGGTAGTTTGCGAATGTATCTAAGTTTGTGATTATGAACCTATAGGTCAACTTCAAAACTAGAAAATTTCCCCAAATCTTAACTTCACGGATTTGAAACACTTCTTCTTGTTGGTTACTCTCCAAATCAGTTATAAATTGCAGCTGGGGAGCAAAATCGCCTCCACCATTAGAGTTATCCTTTCCATTCAGCCCATTTAACGGATTATTTATGCTTGTATCATCAAGAATTATTAGGTTCTTGGTATACGTATGTTCGCTAAAGTTACCTTTGAAATCTTGATAGTATCTGAACTTTTGGCTATTCAAAACGACACATAATTCTTCGTTTCTAAATACGTAATCCACTATATGTTCTGTAGCAGTACTGTTAAAAATAACAGACCATATTTTATCTCCACTTAGCGAATATATGTCTATGACATTTGGATGTGGAACAAACCTCGATGCCAACGCAATTAGTGTCGTATTTGTTGATATGGCTATCCTATAATTGGAATAAATATTTTCAATTGACCAATTTAATGTCTCGTAACATGGTCGAAGACAATAATAAACGTCTTGTAGCTTCTGCCACCCAAGTCTTGGATTAGCTAGCATCGTTCAACTACAATTCTCTGTAAATTACTGGTATAGAATTATTCCCTAACTCTATGTGTACCAAATTCATATGAATTGACATACACGTGATATTTACCATAAAATCATTTTATAAATATATCACCCATACATTATATTGATACTGATTCTAATACTAGCTAATTATAGTTATGATGTCAAACGATTCAGATATTGACTCTTCATATGTTACTTTGGTGTCAGCCGACAACTTTAAGTTTATAGTGCTTAAGGAGGTAGCGCTGATTTCGTCTGTGTTGAGAAGCACGCAAGGGTTTGAAGAGGGCAAAACAGGAAAGATTAATCTAGATATGGATGGAGATATCTTGGAATGCGTGGTGGAATACTTATACTACCATTATAAATATAGAGATCAAGCTGAATCAGGAAATGTTCCGGAATTTAATATTCCTACCCACCTTGCATTAGAATTATTGGTAAAAGCTGATTTTTTGGACATTTAAACGATATATTCTGAATCTATCACATTAGGTTGGTAACATTCTATAATTGAAGTATGCTTACGGAAAATTAGTTCTGATTGGTATGTCTAGTACACAATGTGTAAGATTAATTATTTTCGATTATTCAAGGACCAATACTTTTTGATTTACAGAAGTAGTTATATTACAACACGATTAGATATTCAGAAGTTCGATCACAGCAGCGCCTTACATAGAAAGAGTATATAGAAACGAAGCATTTTAATACCAGAGAGTTTGTTCAGAAGACTTCAAGTGTTCTTATATACAGGTATATAACTAATTGATAAGACATTCGAAGAAGCCGATATGAAAGCTACCCGGTAATACTCGAATCAATTTTCTCTTTCAATAGCATAAGAATCGTATAATTTCAGTTTAAATCTTCCAATAGGTTCAATGAGTACGTTTTTACTAGATAGTCTATCGTCAGAGACGAATCTATTTACGGATAGTGGAAAGGATACTTTGGACGGCCTTTTAGGGGTGTGTGACAAATTCTTGGATGAATTAAAACTGACAAAAGCCGTCTTGGAAGAACAGTTATTTGAAGAGGAAAATGGAATAGATCGTGGTAATAAAGCTGATGCATTTGGAAACCTACAGAAATTGTCGGACAATTGGTATAATAAGTCTATCGTGTATCTTAAGACTTACAATACTAGTATCAATAAGTTTCTGAAGAACATCCTTAACAACAGCAAATTCAACGTAGATTTGGATGAAGCGTATACATACCCCCTTAATTTGAACAATTTTCCTGTTAAATATAATCAACATGACTTGACAGAGTCTCCTGCTAACTTGACACTCAATATTACAAATGATATTAAGGCGATTAAATTACAAAATCACGGTGAATTGATTAAAGCAATTATTATACATTTATTGAAGATTGGACAATGTGATCTTGTTAAAGACATGATTAAGGAAATCGACCCAGAGGGTACTTTAATGGTTGATGAAACACTTCTTGAAAAGTTCAAGCTCTTGAATGAAATTGTTGACGATATTGTTGTAAGGCATGATTTGTCTAAGGTATTGCATTGGTTCAAAGATAAGTATAATTCCGACAAAAGTGGGTCTCGTGGTGTTGGAGGTATTTCACAACCGATTAGGTTATCTCATCACGACGAAATAGAATTCAAATTTCATATGCTCCAATTCACCATACTTCTTAACGGAGACCAGGAAAAACATTCATTTGGTCTGGACACAGTGTTAGAAGCTTACTTATATGCAAAGGATAATTTTTCCAAGTTTTTCAAAGATTATCTTCATGAAATATCTCCACTTATGACGTTACTTTTGTTTAAAACCACTCAGACTGAAAATAATTCCCAACAATACATGACCAATATGCTTTCAGAATTCATTACCAAAATGAAGCAATCTTTTAATGCAGACCAAAATAGTAGGACGGGACAGTATAAACAATCTCAGTTTGTTGGAGAAATCTTAGCCAACTTCGAGAATATTCATGGCAACCAGTCCATTTTTGTTAATCTCTCAAATGAATTCATATCAGATTATTGTAAAGATTTGAATTTATCGAATGACTCTTCCATATTTCAAAGTGTTCTTGCCGGATTTATCAACTTGCCTAGCTTTTATAAATACAATAAGATTCAAATGAAGTTGAACAAAGTCTCGAAAGTTTCCCAATCAATTACCACTTTACCTACTCCTGGTAACGATACTACTGAAAATAGTGGGACGAGCTACGGAATTTCAAATGGAAATGGCACGATTGTCAATTTTGAAGCAAGTTACCATTATGACCTTCCATTCCAATTACCAGATTCAAATAAATTTCTATTTAATTACCATCCGATATTTATTTGTCCCGTATCCAAAGAACAATTAATTCCAATAACACTAGATGACGAATACCAGCTCGATCAAGAACATGTAACGAAGAAGAAAAAGATGACCCAAGCTAATGCTGATATATTGAGTTTTATGCAAAACCCTGTAGTAGTTTTGAAATTTTGCCAGCATTTAGCACTAAGAGATAGTGTCTGGCAATTATCAAAGAAAGGTTCTGAAATTTTTAAATGTCACTACTGCTATAAGAAGCATAAATTTTCTGATGTTAATGATGCATACTTTATTGACTTATGATATAGAACTTATCATATACTAGGTTTCATATAATATTGGATGCAATAAGTATATAGGTTAATGCACGTGATGATTTTTTTTTCAATATTTTACAGCCATCGGAACGATGATGAACAGGACAAAACGAATACAAACTTGATTAAGCATTAGATTAAATAGCAAAGTAATGGTTAAACATACAAAGTCAAAAAATGATTTTGATGCTGAGTTATTACTCTCTGAGACTTCAAAGCTAGGTGACCCATGGGTGCCTATTTATCAAACTGCAGTTGATATTGAAGCTCATCACTTCGAAACTGCGATGTCAAACTTGATAAAACAACCTAACATAAATTCTACCGTAATCATGAGGGCAGATATATTGAAAGAGAATGTCTTTGACGTTGAAAATGGAGATTCTACCTTTGTCAGTAAATTAATAAATAAGATACCTGAATTTCCATCAGAAAATTCCGAGGACGTTATACTACACAGATACCTTGATGATGTCGACTTAAGAACAATTTCATTGAATAATAGTGAATTAAAGTTAAACACTAAATGTGAAGTAGTTAGACGAATCATACCTAGAAACCCGTTCAAAGATCACATAATAAACCAGACTTGCTTAGTTTTATCTAGCTCAAATGCCGACCCCGAGAGTCATACAGAAAAAGTATCAGATGATTCTGTTCTAGTGGTATACATTCCACATATACAATCAAGTGACGAGATCCCTTTTTACTTACCACCTGTCTATGGTGTGGGGATACTATATCATAAATCAACCTTATCTATTCAATATTTACCATTCAACTACCAGAATTATAAAACCTCGCCTGATATACAATTGTCTTTAAGAAATTTGGATATAGCTGAAAGGCCAATAAGAATTGCTCTTAGATTATTACAAACATCTAGTAAACATTCCCTTGGGGCAAAGAGTGGCTACGAAAAGAGGGTGAATCATGATTTAGTTGTACCAAAAATAGCATTCCAAAATAGATATATAACTTTGAAGAAAAAGTATTCTTCTAATCTAGTGAATCTGTGGTGTGAAAGCACCGATCCTAAAAAGCATGTCTTTGAAGACCTTGCGATTGCTGCATTTTTAATTGAGCTTTGGACAGTAAAATATAAGTCTAGGGAAGATTTCGAATTTAGAGACTTGGGTTGTGGTAATGGGTTATTAGTATACATTTTGAACATGGAAGGCTATACTGGTAAAGGAATAGATGCTCGTTCAAGAAAATCTTGGAGTACTTATCCAGAAAACGTTCAAAATAATTTGTCGGAACAAATTATCATTCCAAGCGTATTATTAAAACCACATCCTGCATTGTCGAGGTTAATCCCTAATGTCACCGATAACTTTAGATATTTTCAAGCACCTCAGCTTCCTTCTAAGAACAATGGCAACTGCGAAGACGAGAACGTCCCTGCTGACGTCAAATCTAAAAGTCATTCCAATTCAGACTCCACATTAACGACATATTCCTCTGCCAATTTATTAGAATCGTCTCAAGTTTGTACAACAGAAGAATTCCCACCAAATACATTTATAATCGGAAATCACTCAGATGAATTGACATGCTGGATACCATTATTGGGTTATCCATTCTTGGTAATACCATGTTGTTCACATGCATTATCAGGCGCAAAGGTTAGATATTCACCACGGAAACAACAAAAATCAAACCAGCAACAAAACGTATCTACATATGGCGCGTTGGTAGACCATACTGAGGACTTATCAAAGCAAATGGGTTGGATAGTCGAAAAGGAAATGCTCAGGATCCCAAGTACAAGAAATGCTGCGATTATTGCAACTAAAAGACAACCACATTGTATCGACGAAAACGACGAGGTAACTCAAACTAGAGTCCTTGATATATTGGCTTTAGAAGGCGGTGCAGAAGGATGGGTCGAAAACTCTATAAACTTGATGAAAAAGGCACCTAGAAATCACTAGATTACTAGTATGTATCCATTATCGCTCTATATACTTATTTAATCCTGTATATAGAAATACAATATCTAGAAATGAATTTTTCAAGTACCGCCCTTTTCCTTCGATTAAGAAATAATACCAGCTATATATATTTTTAGCATAGTCCTTATAGGAAGTTAATTGGCATCAGAAAAATTAATAAGATGACTGGGTCCTCTTCTCAGTAAGTAATTATTTAAACTATCATGAATTGAATGATTTGCACTATTGGCTTAGACATCTTAAGGGTAAATGCATTGTAACACGTCTGAACAAATTGTAACTAACTAGTATAGATTTCAGCAGCTTGAAAAATTAGGTGAAGGAACATATGCTACTGTCTATAAAGGTAGAAATCGTACTAATGGGCAGCTTGTGGCATTGAAAGAAATCAACTTAGACTCTGAAGAAGGTACACCATCCACAGCTATAAGAGAGATTTCTTTAATGAAGGAATTGGATCATGAAAATATCGTGACTCTATATGATGTTATTCATACCGAAAACAAACTCACTTTGGTGTTTGAGTTCATGGACAAAGATTTGAAAAAGTACATGGAAGCACATGGTAACCAGGGAGCATTAGATTTGAAAATTGTCAAGTCATTTATTTTCCAATTATTAAAGGGAATAATGTTCTGTCACGATAATAGAGTGTTGCACCGTGATTTAAAGCCTCAGAACTTATTGATCAATAATAAGGGAGAATTAAAGTTGGGTGATTTTGGACTTGCAAGAGCTTTTGGAATTCCATTCAATACATTCTCGAATGAAGTTGTGACATTATGGTATAGGGCGCCAGATGTGTTATTGGGGTCGAGAGCGTATACAGCGTCAATTGATATCTGGTCAGCTGGTTGTATCTTTGCAGAGATGTGCACAGGCAAGCCATTATTCCCTGGTACATCAAATGATGACCAATTGATTAAAATTTTCAGATTAATGGGTACTCCTAATGAAAGAACGTGGCCAGGTGTTTCATCGTATGCCAACTTTAAAAATAATTGGCAAATATTTGTTCCACAAGATTTGAGGTTGTTAATTCCAAACTTAGATTCGATGGGGCTTAATTTATTAAGTAGTTTGTTGCAAATGAGACCAGATGCAAGAATTACTGCTAGACAAGCATTACAACACCCATGGTTCCATGAGATTTCAAACCCAAATCCGTTAATGCAACATTTAGCCGATCCATACCAACAACTGCAACAGCAACAGCAACAACAAGCTCAACAGCTGCAACAGATGGATCCTCAGACATATCGATAGAATATTTTTTTCATGTAAATTACGCTTTCACTTCATCGTTTTTATACTTTTTATATATCGCACTAAATTTCCCTTATTTCAGTATGTGTGAAATGTATTTATATCTATATATCTATATATTTATATTCGTATGCATTAATTCTAAAATTTCGTTACTTGGTTTTCCGGTAAAGTTCATGATCATGTCAAAATATTTGTGATTTTTAGTGCTCACAATATAATACCATATATTTGAATCATCAACACCATTTCGATAATCTTCCCTAAAATATAATTCTAGTAACCGGTTCGTTATTGTATAGTAATGTTGCTTGTTCTGTGGGTTACACGCCGTAATTGATTCAAATCCTTCGATTATTGCCGAGGTTGGGATAACAGACTTTGAAAGATCAAGTAGCACATCAAATGAAACACGCCAATTCTCCATCTCCCAATCATCCTTATCAAATGACCGTATTGTATTAATGAAAAGCTTGTCAACATCTTCCACAAAGAATCCGAAATGACACATTTTTGAAATTAATATCAATCGCTTCTGAATGATATTGTTATAAAACATAGCTGGTAATTTAGGTGACTTGGTATATGTTGCGTAGGAATATTTATTTGTGTTGTTATTCTCCTGGTTATCTGGTGATGAGTCTCGAGGGACGGTATCTGAAGTGTTTGAATTAAATAGTTGGTCAGCCATTCTTGCCATGTTATCGCATTCGTCCTCCGATTCAGGAATACTAACATTCAAACGCTTACATTCCTTCATGAGAGCTTTATCATTCTCCTTTATGAACTTAGGTCTTTCCTTTATCTCTTCCAAAATAACACTATATTCCAATACATGAGATTTTGTGAAGTTAAATAGATCAAGAAACTCAGACGAGATAAATTTATAACTGAACAAATCTGCAGATAATGCAGACGGTATCTCTTCAAACACCTTTATGCCTTCCTTGAGGTTGCGGAGATTTTCGTTCCCATTACCTGGTATTTTACTCGTGTAATATTGAATTTTCTTTTTAATTTTTGGAATATTAATGTTCTGATTCAAATCATACGTGAAGTGAATGTCAACTATATCCAATAGTATTCTTTTTCCAGGCCAATACATATTATCTACTGGTCTACGATTAAGCGACAAGACCTTATTGAAGTATTTATTTGTTAATGATAAGTTATTCTCTTTTAAGCCAGTTAAAACGAATATTCGGTACAATAATTCATGTGGAAGTTTCTCTAAAATTGATTTATTGGGTGGAACATATTGCACGACATGTGGACTTTGAATTTTCTTTATCTTACGTTTCTTTAACGACCTTCCTGGTTGTATAAACCCCATGTCAATGTGATATTCATAGTCCTAAAAAGAGAATAAAAAAATTATTTTTCTACGATAGCGATGCGACTTTGATCATTTCTGTATGACGTATGTTGATAAACAACAATGCAAATGAAATAATTAATAAATAGGCATATATCTTAACTATATGAAATAAAAAGAACTAAATTAAATAATGATAATAAATAAATATTAGTGATTAAATATCTTACTTACCAGCAGCCTTTTCTTTGAACTGGTCTTCAGTAACACCAGCACCCATAGCAGCAGTAGAAGAGACACCACCAGTGACCATCTTTAATAAACCATCAATGTATTCTGCACCAGACCATTTTTGATGCTTAACAACTTCAACACCCTTTTCGATTTCTGGAGCTTGGACAGTTTGACCGTAGGCTCTCATACCGATTTGAGAGTATTGGTTAGCGAAATCATCGACAGCCAAAGCAGTAGTATGTAAACCGGCTAAGGTGATGAATTGCCAGACGTAACCTAATTCACTTAATCTCTTGATGTAAGTTTCTTGTTCATTAGGTGGCATAGCTCTGTTCCAGTTGAAAGATGGAGATAAGTTGTAAGCTAACCACTGATCAGGCCATTTAGCCTTAACACCATCAGCGAATTCCTTGGCTTGCTTGAAGTCTGGTAATGCGGATTCCATCCAAATCATATCAGCGTAAGGTGCATATGCTTGACCTCTCATGACGGCACATTGAGTACCACCTTGGTATCTGTAGTAACCTTCTCTAGCTCTTGCAACATCCCAGTCAAAGTAAACATCCTTACCTAAGATTTCTCTGGCAAGTTTTCTAGCTTCCTTGTTAGAAGTACCGGATAATGGGTTAACCTTATCGGTGAATTTCTTGATCAAAGCTTGTTTGTTGGAGAAATTACCGTTGTTAATTTCATCAATGACGGCTTCGTGGAATAATTTCAAACCAGCCTTCTTGGTCCATTCGACTTCGATAGAAGCTAATTTATCACCGTAGATGCCATTAGATTCAGCTTCAGCCATCAAGGCAGCCAAATCTGGGGATTCTGGGTTGGTAGCACCAAGAACGAAGTAGTGGTCTCTGTGGTCAATAGTTGAGGTAAGTAAAGTAGCAGCTTCAGAATCGGTTCTAGCAACACATAATAAGTCAGAACCTAAGATATCAGCAGATGCTCTGATGGCAACTAAACGGTTAATATGTTCTTGAACTGGAACTAAAACCTTACCAGCCATATGTCCACACTTTTTAGTACCTGGAGCTTGATCTTCAATATGGATACCTGCAGCACCTCTTTCAACGAACAACTTGGTCAATTTAAGAATGGCAGTAATACCACCGTGACCAGTGTCAGCATCAGCAATGATAGGTCTCAAGAAATCAGTGTATGGGGTCTTAGCACGTTCTTCCTTGGAAAGATTTAATCTTTCTTCTCTTTGCTTTCTGTCGTGGAATAATTGAGCAAACCATAAGTGCTCAACCTTGTTTGGAACGGTATCCATAGGGTAGTCAGCTAAATCTGGTGATGGCTCATTAGAAGTAGAAGCAGTAGAAGAACATTGCCATCCAGAAACGTAGATGGAGTCCAAGTACTTGGCCATTTGGGTCACTTGCACTGGATCCAAGGCACCGAATGTGAATGATGCACTCTTATTCTTGTCATGCTCTCCTAACAACTTGTATAACTTCTTAGCTTGGTTAGAAGATGGGTAGTCGACCTTCAAACTACTTCTCTTCTTAGCAATATCTTCAGCTTGGTAGATTCTCTTGGTCTTGGCCCAACGAGGTTCTTTCCACCATTGTTGGATCTCTTTGACTTGATCTTGGAAGAACTTTTCTTCTTCGTTAACGTCTATTTTAGTGTATGGCATTATGATATTTATATATTGTAATTATTATATTACTTTAGAGTCAATATCTGAATAATAGCTTCCAAAAACCTGGAAAATAGGTGGAATTATTCTGCTATTTAAATTGTCATTTTTCACCCTACCCCAGACTTTCCTTTCCTCCGTTTATCCTTAAGCAACAAGTCGTGCCAGGCTCAAATGTACCAAACCCTCGGATAGATGGAAACCCCAGAATACTACACACCTCCGACGCCGAGGAACTGCACTGGTTACTAGGTAAACGCTACAAGTACTAGATTCCTTCATAAGTAGACCGGGGGATGTCTAGCGAAAGGTTAGCTGGATGAATGTCCACACGATTCCAGTCGAAGACCGTATGGAAAACCGGTGTAAATTAAAAGGACTGAAAATGACCGGTGTTAAACATCCATGGTACACTTGTCCATGTGATAGTTCGGAGTTACAATGATTAATGAATCATCGTCATTACCATTGTAATCAGGAGTGGGTGCGAATGATTGGTCCAATTCCGACTCGGAACCGAAAAAATATGCGCTCGAAGCTATTGTTTCCGCTAATCCACCGTGAGACTCATAGTAGATTTGCCGAGGCTAATGAACGGTTCTGATATAATATGACGTACGGAGGTGGTGTGGATGTAAGGCAATAATATAAGTTAGCCTGATTGTCAACCTGGTTGGTATTGTTAATACATTTCGCAATCGTATTTGTAGAGAAACTCGTAAGCTGAGAGACGATGATCAGAGCTGAGTGCAGAACAAGACCTTGGAGATCTAAGTGTGTATAGTCACAGAACTCTAGAGACCGCAGCAAGTCCGGGAGTAGAAAATAGTGAATACGATTACATCGAGTGACGTCAAACAATAGGATTAGCGATCTACAAGAAATTCGTAGAGAAAATATGTACCGGGGCTTTTGACTACGACTATAGCACTTGAAAAGAATTTCATGTCATCCGAGTGTCTCGAGGCAAATTGTTAGGTGTCCTGATGTACCCTGGTGTACTGGTCTATATGTTGGTGTGATCTACGAGCTTGTGTCGAATCGAGATGATTATGTCAAAACCGTGATGAGTACGAGACTACTATTGTACCTTTATATGGAAACGTATACGTGTATCTGTCGGTATGTATTCGCCTTTGAGTAACGTATCCTGCTGAAACCTCGCTATTGTATTCGAATGATGCAATCTTTCGTTTGTACCTTAAAGGGCCTGAAAAATGGATGAAAGTTTATCGAACGAGCTTATCGGATGAGCTTATGGGGCCCAGTTATGCGATGGAGCCTAACGATGGAATCTCACAGTCACTTCACGATAATTACATAGAGACACACAGTGCCTCATAATATAGTAGTCACGTTATTTATCGAATATCATGAAAGCCTGGTTTAGTAGGTCTGACGTGTAACTGTGCCATGGCAGAACATCGGCTTGTCGGCGTTCCTGTATATATCCGGCGAAATCATGGATCTCATATAAACCAGCTTCTGAATCATTAAGTATACTTTCATATTCATACAACAGAATGCCATATTTGCTCCCTCCTGAATACCTCGAGTATTTGGATTACTTGCCGGACTTGCAGAAATGTGCTAATATTTTCATATCCTTCACTCCACTATTTTCGTATGGTACAACATGCTACGGAATCTACACCAAGAAAACATCGATGGGATTTTCGATTGATATATGTGCAACCATGTTAATGTCCCTGATTTTAAGAATATTCTACTATATTATAACCCCGTATGAGATCTCTCTATTGAGACAACTGATTGTAATGGTTTTCATACAAAGCTTGTTGTTGAAAATCTCGCTTAACTATAGACCCAAAAGCTTTAAGCCGGAGTATTTAGAGCCACTCCCGTCATTTAGGAATGAATTGAATTCGTACTTACCAAGGCATCTCCTGGCATCCACATACCCTACTTATCATGAAACATACGCGACTGATGGGGCAATCGAACTGATAAATAGAATTGCAAATGATTACTACGTGTATGTGACGGTTTACTTGACTACCGTTTTTAGATATACGCTCAATTTTTTTGATGTACACTATAAAAGACCTAAGTTGTTTTGGCAGTGGAATGATGAGAGCGACTATTGGAAGTATATCTTGAAATTTTCGTTGGTTTTTGGGGTATTAACTGCTATCTTTAACCACAATGAGACATATGGTTCTTTCATTGGTGTATTGGGATTGTTCATCGAAGCATTATTACCATTGCCCCAAATATTGATGTTGAACAGATTGAAATCAATTAGAAATTTCAAGATCATGTTATTGTTAAGTTGGCTTGGAGGTGATTTAACAAAGATTAGTTATTTGGTGTTCGGCACTGACAACATTTCAATTATTTTTATCTTGGCTGCCCTATTTCAGATGGGTTTAGATATTATCATTGCATTCCAGTATTTACATTTTAGAAACTATCAACAAAGCATTTTACCCACGGCAAATTAAAGTGAAGAACTGTCGAAAATTGTGCCATAGCTATACAACTGTACTATAAGTTCATTATACATACATATGAATGAACTACTAATTATCATCCTATACATAAATATATACATTAGCAATTCATTTGCTCATACAATCTATATTAGACACTACGTAGCTTTAAATTCATACTTATTATATTAAAGTTACTAATTAATAATTAATCTGCTATTTATAACTATTTAAACATAAATATATTCGACATTTTCCTTGGCTTCATTAATTAAATCTAGAGCATCTTTGCCGACTAGGCCATGCTTAACTTTAATATGTCTAGATAATGCATCACCTCTTGAAAATGTCTTCAGTTTACCATTACCTGCTCCACCGTGTAGCCTACCCTCACAGATCACACATCTGAAAATCTTCTTCTTTGTAGCATGAATAGTTTCTTGATGCCTTATTAAATCGTATGGCCTTGAGAATTGCTTATTACAGGGTTGGCCTGTCGAAGGATTGATTAAATCACATTGATGGTTCGGGTTATTCGCGGATATCTCGGCCGCTGTTTTATGCATATCATGTTTAAAATCATGGTGTTCTGATGGAGATGATGGATCGGTATATGGTTCAGCCGTACTATCATTAGACGAGTCTCCCGTTGTTTCACTATACAGCTCATTGTATGGCTCGACAGAAGATTCAACTGAATTATGTAACGGTTTATTGTCCTCTAACTGTTCTATAATATGATCAGAAGAGGGTCCCATATTAACATCGTCAATCATCATATCATCGTCATCACGTTCTGGCATGCTATTCACGCCAAAGTCATCAATGTATCCACCCATCATGTCGTTCTTAGGTGTGGACGCAGAGGTATTGGCGTCAAAATACTCGTTGTGGGTATGGTTGGTCGAGTCATCAAAATCATCATAAAAGTAGTTGTCATCATCATCATCGGAAAGCTCTTCTTCGACTTCTTCGTCAAAGCCATCCATAAAATTGTTTTCGTAATCGCCCATTGATATACCGTTGGCTGCTCCGTCCGCCTGGTTCGGAATGAACAACGAGTCCGAATACAAGTAGTCTTCGTTCAAGAAATTCTTGTTGGTGATAAGCTGCGATGGCTGGATATCAGGGTTGTACAAGAACTGGTCTTCGTCCTTGAGTGGCTTCTGGTGAGGCATAGTCTCGTCATCCAACGTGGTAATCCTTCTCCTGCGAGTGATATCCTGTGGTTGGATAAATGAATGCATCTGTTGCTGTGTGCTCAACGAGTCCGGGTTTCCGTAGTCTGTGAACGGATTCACGTCGTTTCCTCCCCCGTACCACTCATCGTTATATGCTTGTGGAGCCATGGTGTAATCTTCACCGCCGCCAGCTCCCACTCCATTTCCGGTCCCAGCCCCGTTATTAGCGGTGCTATTCAACCTGTTGTATTGATCGATGAATGTATCAGGGATATTAAGCAAACTCGACAAGTTATTACCGCTACCGTTCATATTGCCATACATTTGGCTTCCTGCAATGCTATTTCCATTATTTCCAGCGTTGGAAACTGTTCTTTTAAGATACGGCTTTGGCGAGTCGCTCCGGCCCCCTTGAGCCTGTATTGGGCTCTCAGGTACCTCATATAATTCGTCGTCCATAATATCGCTGATGGTTTTCTTCATCCGTGGTATTATCAACGATGTCATCTTCTTTTCTTGTGTATATTCCAATTTACCTTTGATTCTGTAGAATAAACCCAAATATCAACAGTTTATAATCAGAAGGATTTGTTCTCGTTTTAAATGTGCGATGCGAATTACGACTAATCGTCTTATGTAACAACCACACTAATTACTAATATAGTAAGAACGAGAATGCTATTAATATATGATACAACTATGTGTTAGTTGTACTTATATATGTGTTAATTTGAAAGCCTGTTGTAACTTTTGTTGTGTAAATCTATTATTAATAATAATAATAATAATAAATAATACCAAATATTGTGGGTATTACGTGTACCAGACGTAAGTATTTTCGATTGTCCTTATAACAAACAGAAGAAAAAATGCTCGTTTCGACATCTGCGACAGTGTGAATGATCTATATATGAGAAATTTAACTCCTAATTCCGATATTTGTCATCAATACGATCATCGATGCGGATTGCTTTTTGCAGATGAGAGTCCGTAAAGGGCCATGTCGGAGCCAGTGTTAAGTATGCGAAGGTAGTGTGATATTGCTTCTCGAAACTTCTACGCGGACGGGCTGCGGACGATTACCGGATCGGGCTAATAGGCGAGTGTATATGGGTGCATGGATGTGATGACCTTTTGGTGCTTGGGTGTGAAACGGGAAACGGTGATGGGACAGATACGGTACGGAAGACATACGGAAGAGATAGGGCGAAGTATCGGGAAAGATGTAGAGGAACCGTTAATATAGGGAGTTTGTGAGAGCCGGAGAAGACGCAGGATTACAAACAAGACGAAATGGTGGAATATTGAGGAAACAGAGGTGATGGCGAGTTGGTTCAGTGTGCAAATGTTAGCGAATGCTCAGTGACAGCGATAACAACCGGTATACTCGGAACGTCGGGAAAGTCGTCAATAGATAAACTGGCTCAACTAGTTAATGAATGGAGAGCATGACTGGATGATGGACTGGCGAGCTATATATGATGACACATTTGGATGATATACGGTGCAGGGTCAGGTACACGCGATTCGCATAATTCTCAATACTTGTGTGCTTTTGCAGGTAGGACTGTCTGTTGATGCCAATGTTGATTCTCAAATCAGACTTGCTTCTTTGAACGAGAAGGAGAATACTGATGGCTGGGGAATAGAAGGCCCGTTGAATTATAGGAACCTGGTAAATGGTTGCAATAATGCGGCGATGATATATATATCACGTGGACGGGATTACCGGACGTAACAAAATGCGCATAAAAGCTGTTCATCCCTCGATATGAGTGATTCCAAGCACCGAAAATATGCTTCATTCACCACGTACCACTACCCATTCCGATGGAAATAGAGTCAAAAAGTCTCGGACAAGAATACCTATTTCATGCTCAACGTGTCGGAGCAAAAAAATTAAATGTGATAAGAAGCGACCAACCTGTAGTAACTGCCTCCTGAAAGATGATGAAAACTCATGTAAATACGAATCACAACCGTGGCCTAAAGATACGCCAACCGCTGACGCGGCGATAGAAAGATTGCAAGAGGAGATAATGGGATTAAAAGATACCATAAGATCTTTGGAATCGACGGTAGAAGTACAGCGACGTGAGTTGGGTAACGCCAGTATTGGATCAACAGACACTTCCCCGCCGTCCGTGTTCGACACTGATGAAGCTATAAGAGACAAGCAATATGAACATGGAGATATCCTTGATTTAAGCAAGTTGTCGCAGCGGTATTGCATAAAGAACTTGAAGGTTCTCTATTTTGGCCCCACATCGCATATGTTTCTTCTCTTGAATGATAGCTACTCGGTAGATGTGTTCTCCGATTACCTTAAAGAACAGAGCCAAAAGTTTAAACTCAAATCAACATCGTTAGAAATTCAGAATGATGCTGCTTTTAGCCAAAATGGCCCTACTGTAGTTGATTGTACTAAAGTTGATACTATAGCCCCTGATGAATCCTTAGTACTACCGACGCTTCCATCCCTAAGAATTGTTAACGGCTTGATTCAAAGGTTTTTTAAGTTGTGCTATATATTTGCACCTATTATTGACGAAAGAATATTCATGAATGAAGTTGGCCAAATATTTAAGAATAAAGAGACGATAGATCATGATGATCTCTGTTATAGAAGCTCAACAATTGCCATTCTTTTCATCATGTTACGATTTGCATATTTAACTATACCGTTAAAGAAAAATCAGAATAATTATCTGGGCGGGCCCGATAGCGATTTGTTACGGCTAATAGAAAATACGAATGCAAATATATCTTCTTCTTATGTGGAATATGCTCAACACCTTATTTTAAGGTCTCGAGGATATGAAAAGATCGACTTCAGAAAAATCCAAGCTGTGTTGTTTCTCAAGGTTTATAGAATGCATTGTCCTGAGGATGAAGATAAGACGTCAGGGTCGAATATTCTAGTTGCAATTGCTGCACAAATGGCAAGGTTTCATGGTTTGCATAAAGACCCTAGTAAGTTAACAGTGCTTACTATTGACAATAGTGATATTCACTTGTGGAGAAAGACATGGGCATCTCTTTTATACCTTGATTCTTTGCAAGCGTTCGAATTCGGAATGCCGTTGCTAGTACAAGATAATGGGAGTGACACTAAAGAACCATTCAGGGACCTCTTGAGTAATGAATTCTGGTCATCAAGTGAGACAATAGCTAATTCGTTCAACATTAAGTGTATGGCAACACGCTTGTTAAGGAAAACTGTGAAAATTCTTAACCAGGGGAACGGTCTGACATTGGTAGCGGAAGTAGAGGAATTATTATCAGAATTTGATGATTTGTTGAGCAATAGAATACGTCCTTTTGAAGTATTATATAATTCGAGGGGTCTGACCGCTGAACTGGTTGAAGCAGCATATGAAATCATGCTTCGTATGATGATTTTACATAACCTTTTCACGCTACAGTATTTGTTATATTTATCAGCCACGGGAGAAGCCAAGGAAAAGTACCTATACCTTGCTTTTGGGAATATCTTCACTATGTTTGGTGTTTCGTTTCAATTTGCAGATGACGCATCCATTGTGGTCTGTCCTGAATTGGAAACCTTAATTGCTCCACAAATATGGAATCCAATGAAAACGGTGATGTGTGTACTTAGTGGAATTTTGCTTAGGATTTTAAATGGAGAAGTGTCGTTATACAAAGTTGCGGAAACTTTTAGGCCTTCTTCTGCAGCTGCTGGATTTTGGGCTAAAATGGTACACGAAAACAAAGAAGAATGTCTTAAGAACTTTCTTTGCGTAATTGAACAGTTCTATGGAACAACCGTTCGGCTTTCAGTTAAATATTTCCATTGTTTTGTTCTTTGTTTCACAGTAAAGGTAATTTTGGATCATTTCAAAAACAGATACCCAGAAATGATGCAAAATAGCAATTATTCGACCATTGATAGGAACACTAATAAGTCAGTAGGGGATACAATGCTGATTGATGAGTTTTGGAATACGGCTGATCTCGGACTTGACTATACGTTTGAAGAATTTTTAGCACATCTTAATTACAATGCGGATCCTTTTATCAATATTATTACATAAAAAGATATAAAGATTCTATCTAGACCATAAAATTTACTTTGACCAAGAGCATAATTGTAGCTTATTTAGACTTTAACGTACTAATAAGAAGAATTCCCACTATGTATTATTGATTATAGTATTTATAATCTTGATGCAAACCTCGTTCATCGATAACAAGCAGTTCGATATCGATATAATGGACGCTGATACTTTTATCTTCGAACCATATATTCATTCATACATAAGTAAAATATAAACTAGCATAATAACAAGGTTTAAACATATTTCTCAAACCACTCAAGCATATGTTGAGGATTTCTGGCTAAAAAGTTGTATCCCTCAAATCTTTCATCTGTTCCTTCAATCCAATAAAGCTCCTTTTCTTCAGACAGCAATTTATCGTAGATCTCTTGTACATCTGCAACATTGGTACGGTAATCATTGCGCACTTGGAACATCTTGGTGGGAACGGTTACGCTCTTTGCGTATGGGGTTGGCGAAAGCTCTTCAAGAATAAACCCATTAGCACTGCGAAGACTCTCAGTAAAATATTCTGTTGCTTCTTTCACCTTCAAGTTCTGGTTTTCTGCAGCCTTTTCAATAAAATACTTTAAAGAAATTGGCTGAAGTGCAACCATCGCTTTAATGTCCTTAAAATATTCAGGATTCTTATCCATTGCAACAATAGTGGAATTGCAACCTAAACAGATACTGAGTAACCCTTTCACCATGTCTTTAGTATCAGCTCTTGAATTGACATATTGCAAAGATCCAATAACATCACGATATTCTCTGAGACCAATTGTAACATTACCACCGTTTCCTTGACCACTAAGACCATGATTTCTTAAATCATACGCCAAAATATTGTAGCCAGCATCATGAAGCGCCTTATACTGAGGAAGAAAGTTCACTTCAAAACCGCCAAAATTTTGGAACCCTTCCAAATGCCCTGCATAACCGTAACGATTTCCAGGCATAAAATGATTGCAAATAATTATTTTATTGGATTTTGCAGGAATAAACCATCCTTCAAGAGGAACTCCGTCCTGAGAAGGAAAGAAAACATCTTCATAGGCCAATCCAACTTCATCTGGACGCCTAAACACAGGACTTCTCAAACCCTTGTTGAAGAATTCAACTAAAGGGTTCATTTTTTTTTTATCGGATTCATTCCACGTAGCTGTCATTTTCTTATTTATTTTATATTGATTAATTTATAATTTGTGAATAGTAATTATAATTCTGATGGAAAATTCTTGCTTAAATATATAGCGTAGTTACATGGTCTCCTTAAACAATCCGGAATTAATGTAGACTCCGAGATGCATTTCTATTAACGGAATTAACGATATATCCGGAACGCAGGAATTAAGTGTGTATGCGTGTCTTGATAAGGGAAATAAGCTTAGTTGTTCACTGGCCTGGTTAAGCCGTAGTTTACAAATAGACGTGGGAACCGATACGTCAACAGTATGTCCATGTGGTATAATAGGGACAATTGTAGCAGGAAGAATACTTCACCAGACTTTTCTTTTTTTCTTTGAATATAAAAAAATTGTATACTGCATGAATTTTTTTACCAGTATTTTATTCGATCTATTAGAAGTTGCGAAAGTTAAGATGTTGAAGACATAATGATAAATATAATATAATTCTATAAAGTACTCTATAAGTGACAGCTCTTACGTGAAAGCCTTAGTCTTGTTATATGTTCAAAATCTTTCCTTGTACTTCTTAACCTTACTATTCGCTTGCTTCTTATACATGTTGTGGTTATATAAGAGCTAGGATATGTAGTTATCCCTGAATATTGGTGTTCATATTATTGCAAGCACATTATTGTTCACGTATTATTCTATAAGATCAGTCTGTATTCTATGCTTCAGAATATTGGTATTCGAGTTATTTCTTGGTGCCCTCGTTACTTACCTTCTCAATTCCTTTCTTTGCCAACTCTGGATCAAGATAGTAGTAGTCCCTCACCATGTTACAATCGTCATCCAATTCAAACACCATCGGAACCCCGGTAGGAACGTTGATCTTCGAGATATCGGCATCACTCACACCCTTGAAATACTTAATCAAGCTCCTCACTATACTTCCGTGTGTTGCCACAAGCACAGTCTTATTGTCCCCAATTAAGCTGCCTTCTACGATTTCTTTCCGTAAATACGGAATCACTCTTTCCATCACCAACTTCAACGATTCGCCTCGTGGAAGGTCGGCAATATCAACGTCATCCACTTCGTACCTCTCATCGATACAATCATCCTTATATTGAGTTTCCATTGGTGGAGGTGTGCCGTTGTAGTCTCGTCTGATGTACTGGTACTTTTCCGCACCCAATTCACGATATACCTCGTTTTTATCTCTCCCTTGGAATGCTCCGTAGTGTCTTTCATTCAATCTCCACGTCTTCACAACATCGCACCACAACCGGCCCAATTCTTCAAGAATAATATCTCCTGTCTGTATCGATCTCGTCAATTTCGATGTGTAAGTAATTGTGGGTTTAAGATTGTACTTTTGAATCAAGTGGCCAGCAAACCTGGCCTCATCCCGGCCCTTTTCGCTTAATGGTATATCGATCCACCCACAGAACTTGTTTTCGTGGTTCCATTCCGATTCTCCATGACGTAATATTATTAGCTTATGAATAGCCATTCTACGTATCTTTAATCGATAAAATTGGTTCCGTTTTCTTGCAATCGTTTATAATACAGTGAACAATAATGTCAAGATAGTGAAAAATCGGGTATTTTGACACAAAAGCCCAAAGAGCCACGAGCGTCTGGTTGCATTTTTGCAGAATGTAACATCGATAATGTAACCATCTGGTTTGTAACTAAATTTTATACCTATATATATTGTGGGCATCCCATACCTTCCTATGGGATAACGGGAGTATCTCTGGTTGTTTCGAAGGTATTTGTCTAACAGAAGCCCAAAAAAAAAGGATATTTTGGTTACTGTACACTAAAGGGTGACAAATAAGAAGTTTCGCAATGATTACTACGAAAACTGAGACTCATGTTAAAATCAGAGTTGTTCATACGCCAGGAATGCCACCATCTAAGATTAGAGACAAAGAATATACGTGGGAGGAGGTGAAGGAGATTGTTGGAGAGAATAGACTTGAAAAATTTGCCCGGTCGTTGCATCAGACGGAAAACTACCATAGCTTTAAAGCGCAGCTCCAGAAAAACCATACTACGATTTTCAAGCATTTGTTGAGCAACGAGTTGAAATGGTACGATCCTAAGGAAAATAGAGGTATGAGCTGGGATGAAGTTATTCGAAATGCGATTCCCGATAACCAGATAGTCATTAGTCCTGCTAGTTACAAGTTATTTACCCACAAAGATGACTTGAAAATCGTGCCCAACCACTTTCCGTACTATTTTGAAGACGATGTGATGCACATGTGTGTGTGGACGAAGTTGCGGATCGAGCCGGACGAGATGTCGCCCATCGGGGACATTTCGCCTGCCACCAGAGAAATCATCGAAAAATACGTTTGCAAGACGTTTGTGGATGGGATGGGCATCGACCGCGAGAACATCGTGTGGTTTAAGAATTGGGAGGCGTTGCAGTCGGTGAAGACAATCTCGCATCTCCATGTGCTTGTGAAGGGGATGACAGAGGCACAGGTGGAACTGGTGTTGTACCAGCCAGGTGAGGTGTTGACCCCCAGCGATATGAAATAAATCGCCACCATAGATAGTCAAAAAAAGAATGGTCCTAGACTACGTAGATAGAATACATACAGATATCATACCGAATAATACCCAAATAGAGCAAATAGTACCCTAATAGAACAAAATAATAGCACCCTAATAGAACAAATACTACCTAAATACCCATATAGAGCACATAGATGCCATACCAATTCCCAGGCCCTTCATCATACTAATCACAGCCTCCTAAGTCTATTTTAGACCTCCAAACTACTCTACATCCTACAATGGCTTTCATAACATAAACCCATATATTGATCGTATAAAACTAACCCCCGAAACCGTACAAGGTTCTACCTTGTCTCTTCAAAGCATAAACAACATCCAATGAAGTAACAGTCTTTCTCTTGGCGTGTTCTGTGTATGTAACTGCATCTCTGATGACATTTTCCAAGAAGGTCTTTAAGACTCCTCTAACTTCTTCGTAAATCAACCCGGAAATACGCTTAACACCACCTCTTCTAGCCAATCTTCTGATAGCTGGCTTGGTAATACCTTGAATGTTATCTCTTAAGATCTTTCTGTGACGCTTGGCACCACCTTTTCCTAAACCTTTTCCACCTTTTCCTCTACCGGACATTTTATATTATTATTATTATATTAGTATATTAAGATATATTAATTAAATATATTAATATAAGGAATAATTTTCTAATAATTTTAAAGTGCGGCCTTATATATATATAAGGGATGATAAAAATATTCAAGCAGATATCTCAATTTGCTCATTACATATTACACACTAAACAAAGGCAATATCTCACCCATTTACTTCGCACCCATATCGTGTCTTTTCCGGTCGCAATAATACTGGAGTAAGTTAAGCGTGGAACCAGAAATGGCGGGTCGTGACGTTTGCGCGGTCGCGAACCGTCTAAATGGAGTGCTGTGGATTACCGGGGGAAGTTGAAGTTTTCAGCACAGCACTGATGAGCTTTTCGCACTGTTTGTTTATTTACGTTATGGGAGAGAAGACAAGAAATGCGATAAAGTGCGATAGAAAAGCGACAGAAAAGCGACAGAAAAACGAACGTGCCGAGGTAAACAAACGTAGGGCACGCTAAATGCACCAAAAGTGTGGTTACTGGCCGGAGAGAAGTAGGGTAAAATAGGGCGGAAACAGTGGAAAAGCAGCGCTTTCAGCGAAAAAGTCTGAGCACTTTCTATCTCGCACAAGTAAACATTCCCAAACGTACGCAAACATAAGCAAACATACAATCCGCGCAGAATATACTGTTATATTGTTAACATTAATAGTTGAACATTTTGTATATATAGGAGCGAGCATCTTGAATTATTCTTTTATCTTAAATTATATCTTATCTTATATTATATTATATTATATTATATTATATTATACTATATTATTCATAAACTAAGATGGCTAGAACCAAGCAAACAGCTAGAAAATCCACTGGTGGTAAAGCCCCAAGAAAGCAATTAGCTTCCAAGGCTGCCAGAAAGTCTGCTCCATCTACCGGTGGTGTCAAGAAGCCTCACAGATATAAGCCAGGTACCGTTGCTTTAAGAGAAATTAGAAGATTCCAAAAGTCTACTGAATTATTGATCAGAAAGTTGCCATTCCAAAGATTAGTCAGAGAAATTGCCCAAGATTTCAAGACTGACTTGAGATTCCAATCCTCCGCCATTGGTGCTTTACAAGAATCCGTTGAAGCTTACTTGGTGTCGTTATTCGAAGATACTAACTTGTGTGCTATCCACGCCAAGAGAGTGACTATCCAAAAGAAGGACATCCAATTGGCCAGAAGATTAAGGGGTGAAAGATCATAGGGGTGCATGTATCGTTTATTTCTTGTATATTAGAATCGTTAGTAATATATTTTGATGAATTATGAAGGAGTAGAATGTAGGTGAATCTTGTGAGAAGTGTGCGAGTGGAACGATTCGCATTGTGCCAGTTAGAGCTTGAGTCATTGGAGGATAGCATGGATCAACAAGACAATACATTTCCTCCCACTACACCTTCCTGAATGAGAAACTGCTGTGAAACCAAAATCAATCAATAATGCTTGATTTTAGTGGTGCATATAATTTGTAGCATAACATGTTTCAGGTATGATATGGAAGGATAGAATATAAGAAGAATATAAATGCAAGAGTAATCTAGTATGATAATTTACGCACATAATAAAAATTGCTATGAATGAAGCTTCCAGAGATCTAGTTTCACAACATCCATTGTATCTCGCAATGTATAAATGCGTGGAGGATGAATTAGAAATGTACGATTATCGTGATCTTTATCCAGGTTGGGGAGTGATGACAGTGGATTATCGGATTCTAATTCAAGAATTGTTTAAGGTAGATAATCGAGAACTAACAAGCTTTGTCCCAAGAGTTGGATCTCAATATCTAAAATTTTTAATACCATTAGGACTTGGCTACCCACAGCACGCTAAGAGGCTATTCAGGCTTATTTTGTCACTTCCTATGTGTGAATATGAGATAGAGAATACGGGTAATTCTTCTAGTAGTGGTAATAAAGGAAGCTCGAATAATTATATCAAACAATTTCCCTATTTTAGGTGTGGTAACAATTATTTGACAGAAATGGGGGACGACGAAGTAGCCATCATTGTAAGGGAAATTTTCCTACGAATGGAGGATATCAATTTGGCAGACGCCCTTACGGGTTTTGCTTTCCATGAATACGAATTGATTCCTCGCGGTGATTCACTAGAAGATCCTTATAAACTCGCATTTCTCA